TCTGGCCTCACCCCTGCCCAACTCTACTGTTGCTCCTGCTGCAGAACCGTTCTTGCTCCGGCCTTACCCTTGCTCAACTCTACTGTTGCTCCTGCTGTAGAACCACCCCTACTCTGGCCTCACTCCTGTCTGGGGCAATGCTTTTGTTTTCACTTCATGGTGTGAGAGACTTAGGCTCAGTGAGGTGGAGCCACTGGATCACTGGACCACTAATGGGCTTGTTAGACCAGCAAGATGCAGTGTCAAGGGGAGGTGTCTACAGTGTGTGCCCTTCGCCCTGTAGTGACAGTGAGGAGAGCTAGCTCCAAACACCTCTGTGGCCAGGCCTTCCAGTTGTGGTACTGTAGCTCTCCTGCCTGGGCTTGAATGCCACGTGAAGTCAGCTGTGTACTAGATAGTGTCCTGGGAGCCTCATTCCCCGATGGGGAGGCAGGATGAAGGTGAGGGGGAAGGACCCCTCTCCTAAGAAGATACACAATTGCTCCGAATCTGTTCCTTGTACTTTGTGACCGGCCCCCGTCTGGGTCTCATTCTTCAAGACATCCTTTGACTGTGGCCTGACCACGTGCTCTGTCTGCTCAGAACAAGTAGCTGGCCAGTGGAGGCTGGGATAGGACTGTGACATGTTTGCAGCCAGCAGGTAGGAGAGGTGTGAAGGTTGAGTGGAGATAGGGAATGTTCTTTTCTTAGCCCCCCAAAAAGGAAGTCTGCACATTTCTATGAAGAGAGGGAAAGTGACTACAGCTTTTGTTCTGATGTGGAATAATAGGAACCCAGTTTCCCGGGAGCCCCTTGCTGACCTGGAGCTCAGGCACTCACCACAGTGTCTGGGGCTGCCTCTCTGTGTTTCCGTTGCAGGTGTGGAATGCTGTGGACTCGGGGCACTGCCTGCAGACCTACTCTGTGCACAGTGAGGCGGTACGGGCAGCGCGGTGGTCTCCCTGTGGCCGGCGCATTCTCAGTGGTGGCTTCGACTTTGCCCTGCACCTAACAGACCTCGAAACAGGTGTGTCCTGATGTCTCACTACCCCAGGTTAGCCCTCTCAAGACTGGGAAACCTCTCCAGAAGGTCCTGATTGCGAACTACCCATAGTCATGGTGTGGTGAGGGCCTCAGGACAGACTAGTTTCCCTGACGGGTGTGCAGACCATTTGCCAGTGGTTCTGCAGCTGTCTACAAGGTCCTGGGGCCAGTCCTCTGCCAGTCAGCAAAGGACAGCCACTCTTCTCTCAGCCCCAAGCTGCAGGGCCGGAGAAAGAGGCAGCTTTTTAATCAACTTCTGCTGTGTAATTTGGACCAAAAATATCACGGTGTCCTGTGGTTGGCATCAGCTTAGAATTCCTGTCAGTCCATGGGGTAGAACTAAGTTCCGCAGGGAACTCTTCAGAGGGGCTCTTCCCAGTATTTATAGTGAGAGGCCCCTGGGCAAAGGGGTTTCATGTAGGAAAATCCTCAGGAAGCCTCCATCAGTTAGGGAAGGAGGGAGCAGCCAGCAAAAGGAGCTTTCCCAAGCAAGGTCGATACAGCAGTGATGGCAAGGGAGACTGGGGACCATTGAATATGGAGTCTAACCTATAGTATCCTACTCGGCCCTGGCTTCCTGGACAGAATTCTCATTCTGGCTGTCAGCAGCAATGGGCTCCGAGGCCTGACAAGTTAGGGACTCGTGGCTGTGGGTGGCTGATGATGAGTCTGGGGCAGCAGTGGGGTGTGGTCCTGTTTGTGTTCCAGCTAGGAGGACCTGACTGCAGCTGCTATCATGTGACATGTGGCTCAATGAAGGGGTGAGAGAGGAGGCGCTTGTCCCTTCAGGTATGCTGAATCATGGAGGGCGGCATGTTGCCAGGGCTCCCAGGGGCTCTTGTGTGCAGAGAGGTATAGAGAGGCAGGGCCCCACTTCTCAGTGCTACTGTCCAGTAGGGAGCGATGGAAGGCCCTTCATCTTCCTTTGCCAAGAATGGTGTCTGCATGGGGCTCATCTACTGCAGAACTGTTTTTATTCCTTTAATTTGCTACTGATTATACACACACTGTGTGCATGGCCTGTGCTGGCGTATGCTGGATGTCTCTTGTCCCCACAGAGGACAGAGTTGATGGGTTTGGATCTCAGCCTCCAGGAAGGCCTCTGAACCCCAGATGAGGCCTCTCCTGTGAGGATAACTGGCATTTCTGTCTGTATCCTGGCAAGTGTGTGTCCCCAAGGATGGACCCATCCTGGTGGTCTCTTTGTCCACTGCTTTGATGAGGCTGGCTTGCATCTGCATAATTGGAGAGCTGAGGCTAGCCTCGGCCGTATCCTCCTATCCTGAGTAATGAAGCTCCCAGGGCTGCTGGGGTGGGAAACAGCAGATGCTTGCACACCCCTCCCTGGCCCTGGGTCTTAGCACTTGTGCACCCTGTGGCCTTTGTCCGGCTCTAACTAGTCTTGTCCTTTCTCTTCGTGAAGTCTGATCTTCCATTTTCTTCTTCTGCTTCTCCCGCCCATGGTGATTTGGCTTTTTCATTTCAATCTAATTAGAGCGTCCTGCCAGGAGAAGGCAGCGCAGGGCGTTCGCTCTGCAGTGCTTTGGGAATTAGTCACTCTGTGCCCATTGTCATTAATGGGAATTTGGCGCCAAGGCCATTTATCCTGGTGTCCTCAATCAATACAGTTAAAAATCTGTGGATTCTAAAATGTCAATACCCGGCCTGAAATATGGAGGGCCAGTACCATTTTATCTCGTTAATTTATAGTTCTGACGGGCTGTTGGCTTACGGAACAGCCATGAATCAACACTTAATCAAATCTGCTCACAGATTAATTATTTTTGGCGCTCTTGTTTCCGTCTACAATCTTCCTAACAAACGTCTCTGCTACATTAGGCACACAGGCAGCCTCAGGGAACGCTGGCAGACACCACCCAGGCCCTGAGTGACACTGACTTTGTACGTGACCTGTCCTGCAAACCAGTCAGTTGGTTGTCTCCTTAGAGTCCCCCTGAGCTTGCTCTGCTCCGAGGGCCCCTCTTGCAGATTTCAGCTCCTTAGAGTTGTCCTTCTCCTTCATGGTGGGTGGCAGCTCCTCCTGACAGTGGGGTGCCTTCTATTTGGGGTCGGAGGTGGGTGTATAAATTAAGCCCCACAGTTTAGCTTTCTGCAGAACTCTAGGCAGTCATGGCCAGGGACATCAGCCCTTCTCTCTAGGATGCTCACTGTTCTGACTTCCTCCTCTTATCTTGATGCCACTGTGTCTTTTGTTGGGGTCATGGTGGGTGGGAGCGATTGACCAGGTGGAATTGCACCCTGCACAACTATTCCTTTTTTAAGAATTGTCTTCAGCCCCATCATATGACTAGGGCTGTTGCCATAGAGAAAGAGTGATCTGCTGTCCAAAGTTCTTGCTGTAGCCCTGGTGTCCCACATGCCACTAGGTCTATATTGAGCTGTTACAGATAAATGGAGAAGGCCCTTTGCTTGGGCATCATGCTTAGCCCCCCACTCGCTTGTGAGAACCCCATCTGTATCCTTATTTCTTTGATGTAGAACTAAGACTTTGAGTGTTTGGTGACTTCTTGAGGTCACCCAACCAGTGGTGAAGCTGATATAGTTTTGGCTTATGGGGCTGGCAAAGGTGTCCTGCCAACACATGGACTGGTATGGCCTCCCCTAACCTCTCCTTGCCCTGGGCAAACTGTCTTGGCAGGGTGCTCAGCTGCCTCCAGGTAGTGGCTCAACATCTGCAGAAAACAGGCTTTGGGAGAATGGAGTGCCCGATGGTCTTGGCTAACCCCTCTGATGAAGTGGTGGGCCGAAGGATGCTTCTTGAGCCGTGGACAGCTATGTTCCAGCATGAGCAGTGTTCGCCTTGACAGCTTCAGAGCACTTGGCATAGGAAGAGTGAATAGTGTCCAAATGAAGGCCGCAGCGACGAGCGCTGTCGGCTCCTCAGGTTTTGGAGGAGAGGCCATGAAAGAAGGCTCTGTGTCGGGTTAAGCCTCTGAAGTGGCACTAGCTCCTACTGGTGCTTGAAGCAAGTGCCGTACTGAAGCCAGAGCCTCTGTAGGTTTTCATGCTCCGTGGCACACTCCAGGAGAACCTGCTTAGGGCCCTCAGTGCCCCTGGAGACCAGAAAGAAAACAGTGTGTGCTCGCTGTGTCCCCTGGGTAGGGCCTGCTTTCAGACTGGCAGTCTTGTCTTTTTACCACTTTATGCCCAGCCATGTTGCATCTAGGTCTAGCAGGAGCTGAGCTGATGATAATTCCTGGCCATTGTCCTTCAGGTACCCTCTTGCCCAGTGAAGAGCTACCCTCCCACCACCTTTGTTAGCCATGCCACAAACCCCTCCCTAACCCCCTTCTGTATGTGTCTGTCATCTGTGACGCCCTCTCCTGCAAGCTCTCCGAGCAGCTTCATTGGCCCCTCTCTGGAGAGGGTTTCCGCACCTCCATAAACCAGTCTCATCCTTAGCTGGGAAGCTCATGCCAGCCCTCCTTATGAAGAAGGCAGCACCCAGGCCCTGGCGTGATTTTCTTAATTGGCACGGGCTCCCAGCAGCCGTGTTCCTCCTGTGTGTAGGCAGCAGTCATCAGCGAGCAACTGGCCCTTCTTAGGTTAGCCTGCCTTTGTCGTCTGACCCTGGAGCTGAACGCGGCCGGGGCATGTTTGATTTCAGCATGGTTGGTTCTGTGTTTCAACAAAGCTGCTTATAGCTAAACACAGCTGGTTTGCAAGCTAACTCCCCACCCCCTAATTTTAAGAAATTCAGTTTTGTCCAGACAGTTGAAAGTAGCTGGGCTCAGAAAAGGAGTGATAGCAACTGCCAGCCTCCTGCAGCCGGCATTCATTACTCTGGAGTTTGCTCCTGTCTCTGCTGCATCTTTTCTCACAGCTACTCCTGAAGGGCAGTTTTGAGCCCAGTTTTACGGTAAGGATGCCAGGCTCTGAGCTACACTGCTGGTGAGTTCCAGAGCCCTGCTAGTGGGCATGCCGACAAGGCCTACCTGGCCCTCAGCTGGCTTCCTGCCAGCCCTCTGCCCACTTGCCAACATGGGCCCTGCTCCTGATACATGGAGGTTGATTTGAAAGTTAGCAAGCTTCTTTTCTTGTTAACTTTGAGTCAGGATGGTTAAATTTACAGCTGGCTGAATATTTCCCAGAGGATGAGTGTAACGATATTGATTTTAGCGAAATGAGTCATATGCCTGCTGCCTGGGAACACAGGCTCAATTACCACGAGCCAACAACATAAGCTTTCCCTTGTCAACATTTTTCCTACATGTTCATGAGTCTATGGCTAGCAACAAAGAGCTACAGAGAAGGAAAGGTCATGCGTAGCTGGCAGGTCTGGAGGTGGGATGCAGGCAGAGAGACTTTAGGGTCACACAAGTTCAGTCACTGTCTGCATGGCTGATCAGTAGGGCCAGATGTCCTTTCCCTTCCCAAACTCCCTTTCCTCAGCTCTAAGATGCAGACTAATTCCTGCCATTGCCCAGGACTGTGGTGTGCTAAGTGCAAGGTCCAGAGAGGCCTGAAGGACAGGCTATGGAACATATTGGTTCCCGTCCCACTTGTGACCTCACAATAACTTAGTTAAGGTGAGCTCTTACAGAGGAACAGATGGCCCCTCTCTTTCCTAGGGATCAGCGCTTGGCTTTCATTAAACCTGAAATGCCATTGATGTGGCAGGAATGGTTTGGGAACCAGACACACTGAAGGGACCTGGAGCCTGCCTAACCGTAGTGTCCCCTCGTGCAGACGTTAGGCTGACAGATGATGTTGCCCTGGTTACATGGGTGGCCACCTTTAGGGAAGCCTAACAGCTCTACCTAAGGAAGGAAGAGGCACAGCTCAAAGGAGTTGCCTGTCCAGGGTCACCCGAGCGTCGCCTCAGTGATACTGGATGGTGAAGCTGTGGGAATGATGGTGTCAAGAGAGCAGAATCCTTGAAGCATGGTTTTGCTTTCAGAATGAGTTATTCTAGGACTGGGGATTGCATTTGGAACCTCATACTCTTAAGCAAGTACTCTG